AGACTCCAACAAAAGGGGCAGTCTGGAGCCACCAACCAAAGGGCACATGTGCACTGATATATGGGGAGCCTGCAAAGAAGCAGGGGCCGCACCCACATATACGGACAGTAATTGTGGGTGACAGGGCCATCCTTGGATGGATTGTATGCCTCCCCTTCCCCCAGCACTGTTGGACTTAGGGTCAAAGGGCCTGGATTCAAACTCCAGCTTCTTGGGAGCGGGGTGACCTTCCACATGTCACTTAACACCTCTAGGCCCAAGTGAAAAAACCAAGGGCGTGGTAAGATTCTTCCCTCCTCTAAATATCTGATTGTCCACAGGTCTCAGAGGACAGAGATCACAATTTCTACTCAATGAGATCCAATGCCTGGGAATCCAGGCCTAGATGTTAATTACGTGCAAGTTTGGGGCCCCTAGGGAGCACACTCCTCTAGGGAGTGGCAGAGCCTGATTTCAAGGTGGTCCTCACACCTCTTTCATCACACCACCATTGGGATAACTCACAGATCAACTCAAACAATCCCTAGAGTATTTGGTTCCCAGAGGCCTGGAAAACCTCTGTAAAGGGCTTTGCAATCTAGTACTTTGAATAATCCCTTATAACAAATTAAATGGCATTACGTGTGGTGCCTTTGATAAATGGCGGAAAAATAACTATACAGCTGTAAAGCTTTTTCTGAATAATGACCACTGGCGAGCAAAAGGCCCAGGCCATCCTATGGGATGGGGCAGAATGGGCTATGCTGACCCCTTGGGTTCAGAGCTCTGCACCTCACCCCCGCTGGCAGCTGGGGGGCAAGAGAAAGAGCTCGGGCCCATGAGAGATAAAGAAAAGACAAGACGCAAAAACAGTATCAAAGCTTAAAATCCCCAAGTCCTCCCCATTCTGAGAGGCAGAGACCCCTGATCCCCCTTCCTTAAACCATCTGAGGGCACGGGCAGTACCACACAGCGAGATGGAGCAGGCCAGCAAACCCTAGACCTTTAATAAACAAATAACTAATTAGCACATTGTGGATATGCAAATGTCACAGCTAAAGAGTCTGGAGAACACTCAGTCCCCTGCAGTCTCTGGGTTCACATTCCAACTGCTTTAGAATTTTAAGAAAGGCCCCTTTCTTCAAGGGGAGCACAGGGGTAAACTTCCACCCAGTTGTGGGTCTTATCACCAGTTCTGGATTACTCCTCAGCCAAGTTAACAAAGTCTCTAAGTTCCTTAAAGGTAAGGCAAAGGAAGGAAAAAAGATCCAACACTTGGAGCTAGAAGGAGCCTTAGTTCAACCTCATTTTACAGATAAGGAAACTGAGGCCTGACAAGGTGAAGTGAGGAAAGTGACATTTGAATCCAGTTCCTCTAACTTGAAAATCCACTCTACCTGCCTGGCTTTGAGCTACTAATTTTCATTTGTAACTTTTTGTAAGAGAAAGAAGGAGAGAAATGGGGAACTCTGATGGGACCCATAAGAGAACATCTATGCAGGCAGGAAAGAAAAGGTGTTTTCAAAGGCCATTCTAGCTCCCCAAGGCCTAAGTGTAAGTAATTGCAAGAGTCTGGCAGCCCAGAGGTATGGCAAAAAAAAGAAAAAGTAGAGGAGAAAAAAAATGGCATTTTTACTGAGTGGGCCAAGGCCCTGTACAAAGTGAACATCTTTCATTTTTGTCCCAGAGGCCTGCAGGGCACTGTGATAAGGGAGGTGGGATGACATGCTCCACCCTTCCCCCAACTACAAAGGGAGCCCATCAGATATCACCTTCCAGCCAAAGCTGGCCATTTCTGGGCAAGTGAGACAAAGTAAACCAAATGCCCTTCCCTTTGCAGGAAGATTTTGGAGGAGGGGACAGGAATGCTCCATCTAGGAGGCCTTGGCAGGTCTGCTTCTCCCAAAGACTAATGTTATCTGGGAGTTGGTGGGGGGTGGGGGGGAAGAAGTGGGAGCTGAGGGTCAGAAACATCTCTTTGAATGCCATCCCACTTGCTGACTTCCTTTCTTTTTCCCTCCTTCCTCTTCTGCAACTCCCATGGTGAGACCTGGTAGGCTGAGTTGGTGAGAAAGACCCAGAGGGATGGAAAAACAAGGAGAAATGGGAGCTATTGCCCCTACTCCCTGCTATTCCCTACCCCTGGCAGGAAATGACAACTACATTGTGCATACCCCTTCCCTTTTACAGACAAGAAATCAGGTTAAAATGAATATTCTGAGCAGCCTTTCCCCCCTTTCTGAAGTGGGGAAAAAAGAGAATTTGGGGAGAGGGACAGAAGGGGCTGCTTTGTTCCATAGAAAGGCTGAGAGTTTAGAGGAGTTTCAAGTCTTTCTTTCTTTCTTTTTTAATCCCACACTTCTATTATTTACTGAATGGCAAAAGGAACAAAAATTATTTATGTTCTCTTTAACAAGGCAGTAACAAAGTTATCCAATGCATTTCATCTGGATTTCGCTGCCACTGAATAGAATCTTGTAATTGCCCCATTTTGTAGTTAGGGTAGCTCTTGGTTTTTTGGTTTGGTTTTCTTCCTCCAGAACCACTTCATCTAAGTTTTCCCAAACTGAAATGGAACTGTAATCTCATCCATCTGGATATTCCCTCCACTGGTGCAGATGGCAAGCCACCCTGACCCATTCCTATCCTGTGGGATTCTTAACAGGTGGCCCACCCACTGTGCTGGAGGCTGATATCATGAAGATAGTAGTGGGGCACCCAGGCTGTCCACTGAGTTTCAGGTATTTCTTACTCAAATATGGTGATCTACTTGCCTGAGTTCCCAGCCAGCCCATGTAGTAAATGTGCATGTGTGCATGTGTTTGTGGGGTTTTTTGGGGGGGGGGAGTGGTCAAGGGATGATAAAACACCATTAGTTCCATTTTTTCTGCCTCCTATTTCTACTCTTTGGTGCCAAATGGCTAAAGAACAGAAATGCCAGATGAGTTTTTGTAAAACTTAGAATGTGTGGTCTGCTGTGTTGATTTCAATGCAACACAACACATCTCTGTGCCCACAATGCCTGCCATGGTACCCTGCACCTAGTTAGTTCCTATGGAGTGTACCATCAATTCTGAATTACGCCTCTACTAAATTAATGGAGTTTTCCTACTTACTTAAGCAGCAGAAGTAAGCTGTAAGAAAAAAGAAAATCAGTTAAGAGAAACAGAGCTACCACAGCCAGAAAAAATTACTCACAAGACCCCAGATGCTGGGGATAAAAACAACGAAAACAATTCGATCTCTTACTCTCAAGGAGCTTGCAATCCAATCCCCTAGGAAGATATAAGCCATATATGCAAACAACCCAAATACAAGTTAGGATGTTACCATTACACAGGAGAGATTCAATAGAATAATGAAAAATGAATAATGAATTGCTTGACATGGGGGGAAGAGGGTAGGGGTTATGGAGGAGGTGGAACTTGAAAGAATGGGAGGATTTCAAGAGCTGAAGAGGTAGAAGAAGCAGATTTGGGGATAGCAAATGGCTAGTGGTTCACACCGGCTGGCCTTGGGGGGAAGAGAAGGAGAATGGTTATGAAATTAGCCTGGAAGGGAGACTGAAGAGCAGTCAGGTACAGAAGGCAAAGGGAGAAAGTAAAAGGGTGTGGCAAGCAGTAGCCAATGCTGAGGAAAGGTCAAGTAGGATCTGGCACGTAAGAGGGCACTGGTGCCTTCGGATAGAACAGTGGCCAGGGTGGCCAATCCATGGAGGAGCTCTGCAGAAAGGGGAGAGATGCAGGACAGTAGTTTGAGGGGATGGCAAGATTATGGGATGGATTGGGGGGAAAGGAAATGACGGAGACTTGAGCCTGTCTTTCCGGGTGGTGGATCCAGTAGAGAGGGGGGGATTGAAAATGTGAAAGCAGGGTAACTTGGGGGTTTGAGTAGTCCTGGAGAATATGACAGAGAATCAAAGGTTGCAGTGAAGTTAGAAGGCATGACTTCCTAGTGCACACACTTAGCAGGGTCCCCCAATTCCCGCTAAACAGCCCCAGGTGCCTTGGTCCAACACAAAACGCTTTGCTAAGGAACACATTTAGCCAATCCTTAATGCCTGTCCTGGTAGGTCTCACTCCCACTACCTCCATTTCCTTCTTTCTGCTTCAGTCCTCAAGCTCAGTGTCTATTTCCTCCCTTCCCCCAGGACACTGAAGTACCCCCTAAAATCAAAATCAAAAAGCTCCAAGGGCCTTTAGATATCCATCTAGTGACTATGCCGACAGCCTCAATTCAAAGCTAAAAGCAAATTTTTTTTTTTGTAAACAAGTCGAGGTTCATTTTCTTCCCTGTCCTAGCCTCGTTGGCATGGCAACCAAAGAGCCCTTTTTCTATTGTTTGGTGAAGTCAGAGCCCAGTCCAGTGACAGCCCAGCCCAGGCAGCCACCTTTTTTGCTTTTAAATGTCCCTTGGTTCCTTAGCTAATCAATAAATAGGGCTTACACAATTAGTGAGAGTCTCGGTAAGAATTAGGATTGTGGAGATCAGAGAACGTTAGAGCTGAAAAAGACCTTAGAGGTTCTCTAGGCCCTTCTTACATTTGACAGGGGAGGAAACTGAGGCCCAGAGGGGTTCAATGACTTGCCCAAGGTCACACAGGCAGGAAGTGGCAGGGCCAGAATTCGCACACAGGCTAGATTAATTAGAGCAGTTTGAAATTTAAATTTGGGACAGTGAATCGCGTAAAATAAGCCTGACAGGGAGAGGAGGGGCGGCCAACCAGGTAGGGAAGGCAGGCTGGCTTCTAGATTCACCATTAAGTCCTTAAGGAGCCCCCAACAACCTTAGTGCTTGGGGCACCCCAAATTATCCAGCGCCACCGTAGTGTCAGGATGCTTGCAAGAGCTGACCTCCAGGAAGCCTGGCCTCGCCCACTACCAAAAGGCTCCCTCCGGCTCCCCGTCGGGCCCAAGTCCCCCTCCCTGCCGGGCCCAAGTCCCCCTCCCGCTCCCCCTGCCCATCTCGCCCCGCCCCTCGTCCCTGACACCGGCCAGACGGCCTCCAGCAACGACTCTTACTCGTCACTGTAAGGGGTCTGGCAGCTCCGCTCCGGCCCGATCGTCCGGGGGGGGGGTTCTGGCTCCGGCTCCGGCAAAGGCTCGCTCCCTGGCTGGGGTTATACCGTGAATTCTAACTTCCTACGCTTCCCTCGGGTATCCACCGGCCTCCAGCCAAATAGGCAGAGAATCGGCCGAGGCTTTCCCGGCTCGCCAATTGGCCCGGCTCCCCACAGGTATAACCAATCGCGGACTAAGCCCGCCTCACGCCGGATGTCACAGGCCTATCCCCCGGGTGCGTCCGAACCCCCTAGCCTATCGCGAGCAAGAACCGCCTTAATGGACGTTCACCTTTCAGCCCATAGGAAACACTAAAGAGACACGAGAAGGAGCCAATGGGAAACCAGACCTCTGGCTTCTGTCGGATGATGTCGATTCCCTCCGCTCCAGTGAGGACCTGATCTTGAGCTCCAGGGGCGGTGGGAGCAGCCGCAGGAGGGGTGTGTGTATGTGTGTGTGTGTGTGTGTGTGTATGTGTGTGTGGTTTTTGTGTGTGTGTGTGTGTGTCTCTGAGAGCAGGGGGGTGGAGCCTGAGCGGAAAGGCGCGGGCGGGGCGGAGCCAAGGCAAGAGAGGGGGCGGAGCGACAGGGCTTTAGTTGCCGCCTGAGGGGCTTCGAGACTCAGTGTCTGCGCGTTAGCCGTCGGGAGCGGAGGCATGGTGAGTGCGGCTACTCCCCCTCCTGCCCCCCAATTTCCTCTGGATCCCACTCCGTGGCCCGGCCGGGCCGTGGTCTTGTCTTTCCCTTGGCCCTGGTGGGGAACTCTCTTCTGGCCTCCTTTCCCCTTCCTGCCCCCGGTGCCCCCACCTCCACCACCTCCACCACCACCGCTGCCGCCGCCGCCGCCTCAGCCCCGGTGGGGCCTGCTCCCCCTGCGCCCGGCCCGGAGCCTCGGCGTCCCCACTGTGGCCTGGCCCCCCGAGCGCGGGGACCCCGTTGCTTGGTCAACCCCCTGGTCTGTGGCCGGGCCCTTCCCAGCCCGGCCTGCCGCCGGCCGCCCAGTGGCCACCCGGCCCCCAGCCCGGCCCATCGCCCGGCCCGCCTCCTCCCGACCCGCTGCTCCCTCCCTCCCCCCTGACGGGATCTGGTCGGCCTACTTTCCCCCACCCCAGGCCAGGTAGGTGTCGAGCGGTCGCGCTTTTTTCCTTGCTCCCCAATCCCCCGTGATCCCTCCCCCCCGATTCCCCAATCTCCCCCGCTCCCCGCCTCCGCCCCCCTCCCTTCCCCTGCCGCTTCCTTCTCGGCTCCCGCTTCTCTTGCCGCTCCTTTTTTTTCCTCTATCCTTTCCTTGCCTTTGCAGATCCCTTGGGCGCTCAGCTTGGGGTGGGCCCTGGGGAGGGCGGGGTTGTGTGTGGGGGGAACGGTGGGAGGGGGGCGCTGCAGCTTCGGAGCCTCCCGGGAGCTGGGTGTGGGAGGCGGGGGCGGGGCACGGGAGGACGTTATCAATTGCTGTGGTGAGGGGAGGGCGGCGAGGGGGCTACAGGCTGCCTTAATTTCCCCAGAAATCTTCCGTGGGCTGATGTCGCCCAAATGGAATGAGCCTTACTGCTTTATCTTTTGGTTCTGAGCGGTTTCTGATGTGAAAGGGAGGTTCCTCTGTGTAATGTTTGTATTGATTTGAATTTAACTTGAGAGGAGAGATGTATTTTTTAATTTGGTTTTGAACAAGCTCCTAATAGGGGGTATTGAGCTTCCAGCAGAAAGGCAGGGTACACCTGTTTTAACCCTTTGATAAGCTCTGCTGTTTGGCATTTGATGTGGGCAGCATCATGGTTTTCCTCAGATTTAGAAATGGCTGCCAAATCTAAGCGGGAGCAAAGAAAGCCCAGTAATCCTCATTTCAGTGTGAACAGGTAGCTCTGGAACTTTCCACCAGAGCACACTAAAAGATGGGCGCCAAATAAGTGTCCTTGCACGTGAGTAAACTGTTATGCAGAAATGCTGTAAATAAATTACAAGGGAGCCAGGGGTCCCAGAACTCAACCCCAGCAGAGTAGAAGGGGTAAAACTGCATCTAATTTGGTGTGAATAGAGATGTGTGCAGAGATATGTTGAAACATAGTTTGAGTGGGTGGAATTGCCACCCTCCCTCTTCACAATCACAAGCAAAAAAAAAAAAAGATTCAGTTCAGAGATCCATCACCATCATTGTCACAGTGCAGTAGGTACAGGTGCCTCCCAATTTTCAGTTAATATTCAAACCAAGTGGTTAGAAATCTTCTAGTAACATAAATGAGTTTGAATGCTATGATGAGTCTTGGCAGAGACCATAGACCACAGATAAGGAAAAGCTCTAAGATTCTGGGAAAATGGAACACAAAATTCTATGTGAGGGTTTGTCAGGGTGACAAGGCTAAAATTCACAAGAGATGACCAATATGAAGGCTTCTTTACACTAGTTAGATAAAATAATGAAAATGACTTTTTAAAAAATTTGCAATCCTGTGTCCCTGCAATGCAATTTAAGATCACTTGTTCTTTTATTATTGTTTTAAAGGCCAGTACCATCAAGAAGCCAAACCTGGGCTCCACCCCCCCAAGAAAGAAGATGGGACCCAAACCTGAACTCACAAAGGACCAGAAACAAGAAATTAGAGAGGCATTTGATCTCTTTGATACAGATGGAACCGGGACAATAGATGTTAAGGAGCTCAAGGCAGGTTCTTTAAGTACCAGCTGTAAGAGCTAACCTGGGAAAAGCACATAGGATCCAAGAGAAATAATTTATTATACTAAATAAAAAAAAAACCATCAGTGTCTGTGTTTTCACTGAGTAATTATGCTTAAATATCACTACTTGGGGTAGTAAAGAATGAAGGGGGATCCAGTGACCTAAGGTCTTTTCTTTCCATTTTAATCCTACCTTTCCATTTCTGAGCTGATACAGGGTACTCTGGAGTTGTCTTTCCTGCCTTGCTTTACTCCCTCCTCTTTTTTACTACTTTCCTTTACTTCCTTCCCTTTTCTGCCCAAAGTGTTGGTCCCAGGTATTATTGTACTGTTCCATTTTTGTGTTCAAACCACCCCCCCCCAAAACCTTGTTAAGTAAGGTTAATTGAAATTGTAATGTGCTTAATATTAGAAGCTCCAATTCACAGTGCCACTTTTGCCCCTAAGTATTTTTGGGACTTCTGTCTTTTGTTGAAATAATTATTTAGCCTATTTTTGATGTAGGTGGCCATGAGAGCTCTGGGCTTCGAACCCAAGAAAGAAGAGATTAAAAAAATGATATCTGATATTGACAAGGACGGGTCGGGGAAAATCAGTTTCAGTGACTTCTTGGCTGTGATGACTCAAAAAATGGTAAGTTAGCCAACACAATCAACATAACCTCCATGTAGCATAGGACATCACTCCATTAAAGTGGAGCTCACTAGGACAGGGGAGCCCGAATCGTGGGATCAGAGCCAGAAAGAAACCTTAAAGGCCATCTCGTCCAACCCTATCATTTTGCAAATGGAATAGATAGTGCTTCTGACTAAAGAGAGGACTTGGATTCTACTCCTATTCTCCTGTGACTTGGAGAAGTCAGTTTTGCCATCTAAAATAAGGGAAGGAATACTTGCCACTACCACTTTTCTGTTTAGTTATTGTCATGGTAGCATTTCATACTTTAATGGCAGTTAAATCTGAATTTTGGGAATTGAGAATGTATACACTGTTGTAGCTTACCTTTAACATACAAGATTACGATTGCTTCAGGCAAACTCATAGGAAGAATTTTAGTGATGTCAGATTTCCTCAAACCAGAAAAATGTTTTTCTTTGGCTGGAGGCAAAGGAAAGAAATGGAAAATAACCCAGGGTAATGGAGTGGTTCAGACAGTAGTAGTACCCAAGTACCTCCCAGTGGACACAGCCCCGTTGTTAACCCTCAAAATCAAGAAGCCTGGGATGACCTCTATCACCTGAGATATTTATATACCAAGATAAAGGCCAGAACTTGGTATTTTTGTGGGGAGTGAGTACTGTTCTATATAGTCATGCCCTTTTAATGAAATGGGCAGTCCTTAGCCAGTCAATTTCACAAACAGGTTGGAAGATTAATAGGGGTTATAGTTTGGTTGGTGGAAAATAAGTTAGGATAAAAGTATGGGAAAAGGTAGGAGAGGAAAATATTTTGGCAGAATTGATTATTTTACAACAGTGCTTTCTATTGCTTTTATTTTTTCAACATTTCTGTAAGACCAGGTAAGAGGACTTTGGGGGTAACTAAAGGTTGCTAGGACTAAGATACTTCCTTTCTTGTGTATGATTTAATTTTTAAGACTGAAAAGGATACCAAAGAAGAAATTCTGAAGGCTTTCAGACTCTTCGATGATGATGAAACTGGGAAAATCTCCTTCAAGAACTTAAAACGTGTGGCTAGAGAGCTAGGGGAAAACCTCACTGATGAGGAACTGCAGGTTTGTAGTAAATGAGTCTGCAATTCCAGATTCCTGGCTTCTGACCTTGTAGTAGGTTTTCTTTGTCAGAGCTTCAGTCCTATACTGTTGGTACTTTGCTGACCACCTAACTTTTTTTGCCTAGCTATTCCCTTACCTACCAGTTGGTAAGTATGACTAACTCCTGTCCAGTCTTTGTCTTCTTTCACGCACCTCACCCTGATTCATAAGGTCCCTATTTTCTACCCACCTCTGCTATCTCAATTCTGTCTTGCCTATTTCTTAATATCTTTTCTGAATAAGTTTCTGTGCTTATATGTGTCAGTGAACTGTGTGCATGATGATGTGAACTATTTCAAAGATTATTATTGGAGAATTAATGTAATATTAACATCTCATTAGGCTGAGGTGGTCACCTGGTGCCTTGTGCAATGTTATTAAAAGGTTGTTAAAGTTAGCTCCCTCAATTGGAGGAAATACTCTTGTCCTAATCTGCTTCCCAAACAAATGCTTATTGACTACTTGAGTAAATCTTCCCTTTTCCTCTGACCAGTAGAAACATGGCGCTTAAGGAGGGTGCGGGATATTGACAATAATCCCAGGGCCTGTATTTGTCACCTTTCATTTATACTTACAACACAATTTAGACCTTGGCCTATGACTAAAGAATCTACACTATACATTGTACCCTCTTCTTCCTCTTCCCTATTCCTCCTCCCCCTCAAAAAAAGTTAGAGTTTCATTTTAAGACTCAGTTA